TAACTGTTGTAGATTTCATTGACTGGTGCCATGTTTTGGTTTGACCACCGCCAGCTCTTTTCCAGCCTTAACCTGTGTCAGCTAAGATTGCCCGTCGAGGAAGGCGGTGACTAGGCATACGTAGCACATGTCCTAACCATCTCAGTGGATGTAATTCCACAGTCTCTTCGACTTACTTCTCCTCCCACCTACCTAGCACTCGATGCCTAACCTCAATATTGCCCACCTTATTATACCACTACACGCGGGAGATAGAGTGCAGGCACCTATGATCGAAGACAGCTAATCTTTTCATGTCTTCCACTCTCAATGGCTAGGTCTCACAGCCATAAAGGAGGATGGAGCGGACTGATGAGCTGTACACCCGCCCTTTGGTCGATGGCCAGCCGAATATCACGTCTAGGCCAGAAACGGCGTATACTGGCATATGCGTAACTAGCCCTCTGTGTCCGTGCTGAGATTTCGTTAGAGATCAACCGGTTAGGGGTGATGGTACTTCCCAAATAAGTGAAGTGGTCAACGTAGAGCACGTTGACCGCTCCACTTATTGAATCTTAGAGACAGACAGAGAGAAAAGAGCATAATACTGATAAATTATCAGGCTATCTTACTGTCTGCAAACTTACCGTACAATATAAGCACCAAGAGATGTGCTGCATAAATATAATAAAATCACAATATATATAAGGAGAGAATGAGGAACTGAGTAACTTGGGGACAGCATCGAGAAAGCATACTTATTATCAAGGATGCTTCATCACTTCATGTTTGTCAGAAACGGAAGAAAGAAGGAAAATTTCCCCACTGATAACGTGCTGGCCCACTGATTTGAATACCACACATACCTCTGACACAGGAAGTCGTGATTTACCAACAGGTGCTAGCTAACCTAACACATCTATGAAGATAAAACTTGGGCACCGTTAAAGCGTATAACTTCATTGTGAATAAAATTTATTTTGATAAAGTCACACAGTGTTATACAGTAATATTTACTGATGACCACATTTCGAGCACAATTATTGCTGCTCATAATCATATCAAGGCACTTCTCACACAACTATCTTGCTTCGTTTATATACATGAGTGGAGATTGATTAGCCGTATGAATGAAATCAATAAAAGTTCAATAGGCATGTGTAAAACAGAAAGAGAGATGAGGTACATTTGCAAACACTATTAGTATTATCAATCATTATTATTATTATTATTCCCTTAGGTTCCTTGTGGAACATAGGGCTTCAACAACACACCTACACACTTCTATTTTCTGCAATTCTCGTCAGCTCAGTCCATGATTACGCGTAATCCCTCACCTCTTTCTCACGCGATCTCATCCATTTCATCCTCGCGTTGATGACCAACTCGTCGCTTCCCATTTGCATTTCACTTGACAGCTGGCCTGGCGCAGTAGATTAACTAACAACACTCGTCCTAATTCTCATTGTATTGATAAAACTAATAGTGTTTGTGAATGTACTTTATCTTCCTTTCTGTTTCACTCATGTCTTATATTGATTTTATTCACGTATCTAATCAATTTCCACTCATATATATATATAAACGTGTGAGTACCTTGATATGATTATGAGTGGCAATAAACTGTACTCGAAATGTGGTCATCAGTAAATATTGCTGTGTACAACAACACTGTGTGACTTTATCAAAATAAATTTTATCCATAATGGAGCTAACACAACTATCCCTCATCACACGGCACTAGCTGATGCGCTGACTGCCTCTTCTGCTTTCAACAAGTATGGAAGATCTGAAGTCGCAAATGAAAAACAAATCACAGTAAGAAAAAAGCCAATCTACTTTCAGCTTGATTATAAAGGTGAAAACATTACAGCGATGATCAACAGAAGGCTGAGTACATCACTAGCCATTGCCTATCCTGCAGCTAAGCTCGTTTCCGTCTTTCGAACAACTTGCTCTCTGGTGCAATCAAAAATCGATAGATGCCCTTCTCATGTTAACTCCAACTGTATATACAAATTTACATGTATCTGCGGGAGCAGTTACATTGGAAGAACAGAAAGAAGGGCATATCTACGATTTTCTAAACATATACCAAAAAGCTTACGTCTAAAGGGAACAAATGCTTGAAGCAGTGCCATCGCCAGGCATCTTCTTGACACGGGTCATGAGGTGGACGTCGAAAAGTCGTTCAAAATTATCAATAAGCAAAAGAGCTCAATTCTCCTTAAGTTTGCTGAAGCCATTTCCATCAAGCACCTAAAACCTGATTTGTGCGTTCAGAAAGAAGCAGTTATCAGTCTTTCTTTGCCCTGGTAACTGGATATGTTTCATCTGAATGCGAGATACTGAAAACTTTTCATTGTGTATGATTATTATTGCTCGGAATTGTGTTCAATATTGCATATATATATATGTATATATTATTAGTGTATGTGTATATTGATCGATTGATTTCTGTTTAAAATGAACTCTGTGCAAGTATGTTAAAATTGTTTTTGTAGATACATTTAATAATGTCTTTGTCCTGTAAGCAGCTGACGAGAGGGCAACGAAATAAACAATGATGGTACCATTTTATTCTGCTAAAACTGTAGTTGTTGCTTTGTTCAAATTCATTAGGGGAATAAATGTATGAAAATCTGCTTTCCCCACATATTTGGAGCACTACCAAACAGCGAACAGTTTGGAAGCCTCTGGGATAATATATTCATAGCACATGTTGAACCCACTGAAGCTGGTAAATCGGGATCTACAATGTGTTGAAACACACAATGCCGGATCTCAGAAATGCTTACATGATGATGATGATGCGAGGCGATGCAAACCTTTATGTGGAGGCGGTATCAAGTGAACACTCATAGTCTCTGCATATTCTCAGCCAGTAGAGGCTAGGTTTCAAATGCTTAAACGAAAAATGTACAGCCTGAAGCATTGTAGACCTGACATTTGTTAGGCAGAATGACAACGTGACAGGTTCAAAGGTGATGATCCAGGTTGTCGTATACTGCCTGGATTTTATTAGTATACGGTTAGAGGTTTTATGCGTTACACAATAGCCGAGATACACGAACTTCTAGCGAACTACTTCTCGTGGTTCACCTGGATGGAGGAATGCGGGTACATGTTTTTGTCATTCTTGTGACATTACTTTGCACTTAGACAGCGCGCAATGCAGGTACTATACTCACAGCAGACAGTGATAGCTAACAGATTAAAAGTGTGTGATTTCGTGGGCTGTTTGTCTGTTATCGCACTAGAAAACGATATCGTCTATACTGCAGAAGAAGTTGAGGGATCAGTTCTACAGCAAACATAATTCGTCAGTACACAGAATAGTAGTATCAGTCATTCTTTGGCTAACCGACAAATCACTTAGAGAGCTTGACACATAATTCGAAGTCTTCACATCTATCTGATGAGAGAAAAATGACACTTTTGGGATTTCAAGTATTAGTGTATTGTTTGTGGTAAAATTACACAATTGTTTAATCACAGAGTAATGTAGTAGGACAAAGACTTATCATTATATTGCAGATTTTATCAGTGTGTATATATTGTGAAATGCTCGTCGTGCCTTCATTTTTCCCTGCGTTATGAACTGTGTGAACATGATTTGGGTTGATGAATATACGTCTGGGAGGTAGAAAGATAACCATTATGGATAAGATTTTATACAGTAATATCAACTTATGACGTTTCGAGCACAAATTATTGCCACTCATAATCATATCAAGTTACTCACACAACTGTTTACTTCATTTATGTACATGAGCAAAAGCTCATTAGATATTTGAATTAAAATAATATAAGATAATGTACATTCAGAAATAATAATATGATTGTTATTGATCAATTGCGATCAGATGGGAAATAAGACGAGTGTTTATACTGTCAAAATAAGTAACTTGTTGGAAAGTCATTGTAATTAATCAATAACACTCATATTATTACCAGCAGTCAAATCAGAAGAGGATAATAAATTATCTTAAAATTCCATTTCAATTCAAGCACATCACAACATTATAACAAGTTACTTATTTTGATTATAAAAACACTCGTCTTAATTCCCATCTGATTGTATTTGGTTGATAACACTCATATTATTATTTCTGAATGTACATTATCACATATTGATTTTTATTCAAGTGTCTAATCATCAATTCTTACTTATGTATATAAATGACGCTAGAAAGTTGTGTGAGCGCCTTGATATGATTTTGAGTGGCAATAGTTTGTGCTCGAATCTTGCTCAGCAGTTAATATTACTGTATAACAGTGTGTGATTTATCAAAATCTTATCCATAATGGAGTTATACTCTACCACACTGCCCAAGTTTTATACTTATATCAATATAGATAACCATGTTGTGTTATGTGTACCAAATGTGCTTCAAAGTTTAACCATAAGGTTAAGGTATTCAACCTAATTTTTGATGATGAAACTGTAGAAATTTTAAATAGAGGAAACACCAAAAGCAATGTCAGGAAATCTCTAGAAGCCTGGTACTCGGACGAATACTGACGGCTAACAAACACATTACTATAGAGGAAATTTACCAACTAATATAACATTAGTCACATGACAGGAAAGTTGAAATTCCAAGTCAATAATGAAAATGACCAACAGAGACCTAAATGAACAACCAGGAACGATAATGGTTGTTGGCAGATTCAATTATATCATCATTCATAGAGAATTCAAATAAGTTCATTTCACAGTCAAAACCCTGCGCTGAGGATCTTGTCTAGAAGGACAACGGAAGCCTCGCCGTCTAGCTCGAAGAACACAAATAAATCAAAAAGAAGTAAGTACAGTGATAAATAATATATTTTCGGTTCCAGAGGAACAGCTTTCACAAATAATAAAAACTTTGTCAAAGCAACTGTTTCCTGTAGCATCTGTTCCTTTTACTTCGTCAGGTAACCTAACTTTGATATTTCTCATACCAGTATTCTTTCCTTTGTTTAAACCTCTCTTTCAAGTTGTTTGTATTTTCATGCATATCCACTTATAACAGGCCTAATCAAGCTGTAGTTGGTGATGTTTTAGTACTCACTAAACCTTTGGGTACTCAAGTCGCCGTCTCAGTGTACTACTGGATGTTGGAAGAAACTCCGTCGTGGTGTGAAAATCTATGCAATGTTATCAGTGCGGATAAAGTAAAGAGTCTGTTTCATGCTGCCACCATGTCTATGTGTCATTTGAATCGTACAGGTTGGCTTTGTTTTGTCTTGTTTTATAATGTAGAAAAACTGTTTTAATAGTCATTCATAATTTATATGATTGAATACCTCGTTTTAGCTCGAAACACATTTGTTATGCTAATTAAATGAAAGCACTAATCATAAGAATATTCAAGTGTTGGTTTGTTTCTGATTGGTTACGGGAGTTCATTATGAGCCGACGTCAACTAGAGAAGCATTGGAAAACCTGAGCCAATGACCTTGGCCAGTGGTTGCGCTGTATCGTGAATTCGCAGAAGTTCGGATTGATTCGCCGGTTGAGTTGGGTGCCAGTGGTTGAATGGTCTACGAGCTCGCCTTGTAACCGGGTTCGAACCCTGACAGTAGGTGCCTACCGATGAAGAGTCTCAAACTAGGACGAATTGTTGAAAGGCTAGATTTACAAAAAAATATCGATCATCATCAACAAATGAGTAGAGTGAGTCTTAAAACATTCTGCTGATAAACCGTTTACAGTGCCAATTAAGACAAGTTTTACATTCACCAGCATATGGCAGTTTTAGAAATGACTTTTAAAAAACAGGCCATTCTGATTATCATAGAAACTGCCTGTGTAATTTAAACAAAGTAACAATCAGCATTAATGGAAGGAACCTGAAAGAAACAACCTCCTTTACCTACCTACCTGGGAAGCATCGTTTCAACTACAGGCAGACGGAACTGACCAGGATATCAAAGCAAGAATCGGAAAAGCAAGACAAGCTTTCACTACTCTCAAGTCTGTGTGGAGGTCAACACCCAGCATTCAGCATGAAAATAAGATCCGGATTTTCAACTCCAATGTGAAGTCAGTCAGTGCTACTCACTATACGGATCAGAGACTTGCATTGCGCGTCATAAAGAGTATCTCAAACAAACTACAGACCTTCATTAACAGTTGTCTTCGCTCAATACTCAAGATCAGATGGCCAGAAAAAATCAGGGACAGAGATCTCTGGGAGCGAACCAACACAGCAGGAACCGATTGTGAAACAAATAGGCAGGAAGAAATGGAGATGGATTGGCTGGCCATACTCTGAGGAAACCATCAAGTGACATCACTAGACAAGCCATTGCTCGAGTGGAACCCGAATGGGAAGCGGTGATTTGGTCGTCAGTGCAAGGGTGACTTGGAGGAGGTCATGTGAAGAGGAGATGAAAACGTGTGGGCAGACTTGGAGCCAGGTGAAGACTCTAGCAGAGAACCGAACGCAATGAAGACGCACGGC